GGAAGGGAATTGCATGGTTCAATTTATTGTCAACGCATGGCCCTTGGGTTTTTAGGCCTACAGGTAATGGTGAATTATTTATAGATTCTTGGACCTAGGAAGCAAATATGTCTAGACCTCCCTTATTTTACAGACACAGAAACATGATATCGATTCTTCGACCACTAACCACTCCTCTGCTTGGATCCTATTGTGGGACTCTAAAGACCCACTACTGGGCATTTCCTTTTCTTCCTGTAAGTCCCCACCTTAAATCCTGAAAGGGGCAATGGCATCGGTTGCAGGTTCTAAGGTTCAGAGAGGTTCAATAACTCCTTCAGTCACCCAGCAGGTAAGTGACAAAGATGGGAATGGAACAAAACAGGTGCCAAGGTCCCTGGGCCCAAGAACACTGCCCAGAGGGGTGGAACTTTGAGCATCATCAGGCCACCCCAAGGGCCACCAAAGGACTCAAAAGGTGAAAGCAAGTCTTGAGTCAAGGTGGTCAGACCTGTGTTCGGTCTTTTCCCCTTTACCCTTGCTGCCTCTTATGCATTTCTTCGCAGTCTAAACTCTAGTTAGCACTCCTCATGGGGTCATTCTAAAGTCCTATCAGATCACCCTCTCGTACCAAATGCAGAAGCTTCCTCACCATGCCAGCTTCATCCTCTCTAAACCTGGGAAGAACCTGCAAGCTATACCTGGACCCGAGCAACAAATCATAGCTGCTACCCCACACTCAAACCCCCTGGGAGCTGCAGGACCAAGTGCACACTTACAGCATATGGGTAAAGCCAGTCACAGCCAGCCCCTGCCTTGCCTTATAGCCTTCCTCCTGAGCCGGGCCACCCTTCAACCCCATCGGGCTATGCGCAGCCCCTCTATGTGCACAGCCCCTCTATGTCAATCCGTGATCTCCAGCTTATGCTCCTTGAGTGTTTTGTTCCCTCTCTCCATAGCTGTCCAGCTTGGTCCCAGCCCAGCTGCACGTTTGACTTCCCTGGTGTAGGTCATGTGACTGGATTCTATAGTCACAGCATTTTGTGTTCATGTTGTCATAGCAGACTCGTCTTCGTTGGCTCTTGAGATCCCCGAAGACAGAAGGGCAGGAACTTATCCTTGGGAGTCAGACGGAGATCTGGTTCCCAAGGTAAGGAAACAGATGTGTTGGGACAAAGAAAGAGACAGAGGAGCAGGCCTCTTAGATGGAGGATCAAGAAAAAAGTAAAGCACGAGATGCAAGATGAGGGTAGTGCAGAGTTGGCCTAAAATCCCACTACACAGCAGCCTGAAGAGCATCTTGGGTTGCACTGTGTTTTCTTCAAATGGAAGCTGGCAGCATCCCCCAAAGCATTAGGAGGAAGTGTTGGGTAAAGGTCCATATGTCCACTCCTGTTCACCCTCACGCCATGGCCTAAATCTTGCTTGAAGCCTCGCATCACTGTAAGTGGTCATGCCATGAGCTTTGGAATCAGGCAGGTTGTGCTTTGGCAACTCAGCTGCTGTAACAATAAGCTCAGAACCACAGTGGCAGCTCAACTCCATGGGCATTCTTTTTAAAACTCATGTCACTATCAAAGGTGATCACGGATTCTGTTCCATGAAGCCTGTGACGCCCCCATTCTCAGTGGCCTTTGCGCCCCCTGGTGCTTTCTTGGGGATGGCCGGCCAACGGGCAATGGCTGGTATGATGCAGATGCTCACAAAGTTACTTCAGCTCACACTGGTTGGGAGTCTCACCCAGATGCAAGCCATAGTCACATGGCTTTGAGAGGCAGCAGAAGATAGCATACACCGACTTGGCAAGGTCCAGCAGGCTCTTTGGTTCTTCCAAATTCTGGTTTGCTCATGAAGTGAACTTTCTCAGAGTAGCTAACGTGTACACAAATGCCTCCTTCTTGGCAGCCAGGCAGCACGCATTCTGTGTGTCTGTCTTCTCAGCATAAAGCTGGACAGCATGCAACAGTGGTGCCGGTAGACTCACTTCTATGTTTTCTACATAAGAACTGAAATCAGGAGGTGGGGGGGATGGCCCAGTGGTTAAGAGCACTGACTACTCTTCCAGAGGACCCAGGTTCTAATCTCAGCCCCCACATGGTGGCTCACAACTGTCTGTAACTCCAGTTCCAGGAATTCTGATGTCTTCTTCCTCCGTGGGCACGGCACATGCATGGTACACAGACACACGTACAGGCAAACCCGCTCCTACACATTTTTAAAATCTTTAAAGCTACATTTTTAAAAAAAATCTTGGAAGAGAAAGGCATGAGGCTGGAGGGTAATGGGGTTGGGGGGCACCAGAGGGAGTTAGAGGCGGATGGATAGGTGCAAAAGACATTGTATAAATAAATTAAGATTTAAAGAATAAATAAAAATCAGTTTTAAAAAGGGTTGGAATAAAGTGGTGGTTCAGATTTGTGTCTGGGGCCTCTGCCCAGGCTTCCTTCCCGATGACAGCACACGCCAATGCTGTGCCTGGCAACCGTTTTAGAACCCAATTCTTCACCTGCTCTGAAAGAGGACAGAAAGTGCTGCCCTCCGTGGGGCTGTGGGTGGAGGTGACGATGTCACTTGTCCCCTTCTCTGAAGAGTCCGTGGCCGCATGAACAGGGTGCCCTGTTCATGGATTTTTATTATTGTAATTGGGCTATCTGACACGAAGTGAGGCCCAGTTTAAAACACACTAGGCTGCACCGACGGCAGCAGTCCAGGAAGCAGTTTCATCACTGGATCCAGTGACCACAGACTGTCTTCTGGGCCATTGCTGTCTTCCCAGCAGGGAGACACACTGGTCATCGCAGGCAGCACTTTGGAGGACTTCCAGGGAACCTGTGTGCTGCATGTTGTAGGGGACACAGACTGTGTTCAGGTCTTCTAGTTCTAGAGTTTTCTTTCTCTCTTCCTTTCTTTCTCTCTCTCTTTCTTTTCTTTTCTTTCTTTCTTTTTTTGTTTTTGTTTTTGTTTTTGCTTTTTTGTTTTGTGAGACAGGGTTTCTCTGTTTTCCTTTGGAGCCTGCCCTGGAACTCTCTCTGTAGACCAGGCTGGCCTTGAACTCAGAGAGATACGCCTGCCTCTGCCTCCTGAGTGCTGGGTCTATAGCAGGTTTTGCTCTTTGATTTTCCTAAATGAAAGCAAGAAACCTCTGCAGGTCCCCAAAGTAGCGCATGACAGTTAGCGGTCACTTGGCCTCTGGTCTCCCACCAGGTGAAGGGTAACTCAGAAGGTAAGGGACTGTTTTCTTCAAGCCTACTCCTGTTAGTTCTCTCCCAGTATTCCTGTCCTCCTCCTCCCCCCATCCCCCTCCCCCCAGCCCCCACCCCGGGAACTGACCATTGCTGTCAGGGACGGACTAAGAGGCAGGCTCTCCAGGGCAGGCATGGGTTATCCTCCTTGTGAGTGAGTGAGTGAGTGAGTGAGTGAGTGAGTGAGTGAGTGAGTGAGTGAGTGAGTTTAACCACTTGAATCAGGGCCAGCTTGCAGTAGAGGCCAAGGTTAGAAGCAAGAGCAGCCTCATCCACATGTTGAGGTCCTGCCTATCTAGGAGCAGGAACAGTGCCTGAGGATGACTGCATTCATTACTTTTGCAAGCTTCTCCACAAGGAGAGGCCCAGCCTCTGTTTATAACTGCTGTGGTTCTGTGGGGGGGGGGGGCCTGTAACTCTCACTTTCTGGAGCCCTTCCATCCCTGCGACTCCGCCGCTCGCTCTCATCCCCTGCTCCTGTGCAGTGTGCTCCTTGGGTGTTTACATTGTACTTCCAGGATCCGACAGTTTTCCTTACGTGTACCTGTGTGACTATATGCTCACGTGTGTGTGTGGAAGACGTTGGTTGCGGGTGGCTTGTAACTGAACTCTGGTCCTCTGGAAGAGCAGCAAGAACTCTTAGCCACTAAGCCATCTCTCCCAGCCCCTGGTGTTTCCTTTTAAACCCACAAACGAACTAGTGGAGGCAGCAGTCTCAGTTTCACAGCCTGTAATCCAGGAGTAGCTCATTTGGGCCCCGGGAGACAGCGGTTGGTTAAAGCACAAAGGCCCCCTCCCCCACAGGAGCCTCACAGCCTTCCGTAGAAAAGTCTCATTTGCACATGAAGGGATCTACCCCCGGATTTGTCTGGGATAAAAAAAAAAAAAAAAAAAAAAAAAAAAAAAAAATGAGACAATGCATCATCGGGTGGTTTCCATAGTTTAAACTACACAAATAGTCCTGCATGACTAATGCTAAAAAAAAACTGTTGAAGGGATAATGAGCTGAGCCAGACTCAGAATTCTGCGCCCAGGACCATGCCCCAAGTCCACACTCAGAGCAGGACCTAAAGCAACTACCCCAGCCCTCCCCAGCACAGGTCACCACTCCCCAACAGCTGCTTCGGAAGCTGCCACATTCCATCTGTATGGCATTTGAAGTTTAGGGATGGGATTGGCTGAGTGTTATCGCCATGTTCACTCCCTAGCCACGGGGGTGGGGTGGAGGTTATCTATTTATTTGTATGTGGGTATATGTTATGGTACATGTGTGGAGGTCAGGGATAATTTGAGGGACCCAGTTCTCTCCTTTTACTGTGTGAATCTCAGGGATCAAACTCCGGTCTTCGGGCTTGGTAGCAGGCATCTTTAACAACTAAGCCACCGGGCCCTTCTCTTAAACTGCGCCCCCCCCCCCATGGTGACTTTTGAAGAACAAGAGACTTGACTTGTAATTCAAGTGAGCATGTTTCTTTCTTTCATGCTTGTTGTCTTTTCTGAGATGTAGTGTCGCTGTTGCGTGCGGTACTCCTGTTAGAAATGTGCGCGGTTAAGACACTTGGCAGCTGATGCCACTGAGAAATCGGAGCTTAGGTCTGTTTGACTCCCAGGCTTCACACTCACCGAACAAGCCATGCCGTAAGGACCATTCCCCATATTTGTTAGAGGATCCCAGTGAGTTCTGTCAGGTGCCAAGCTGGAAGGGCCCCGTAAGGAGCCTTCCAATTCCCTTCCGGCACGGGCAGAGCAGAAGGAAATAACTGCTCTTTTTGTTTCCAGTATATCAAGGCCTTTTACAATGAAACCTGGTACAGAAGGCACGGACATCCCATAGACCCGGATACCCTGACCCTGCTCTGGTCTGTGACCGTGTCCATATTTGCAATTGGTGGCCTGGTGGGGACGCTGCTGGTGAAGCTCATCGGAAAGTTTATTGGGAGGTCAGTACGGGCACTGTTTCTCTTTGGGGTCCCTTCTATGATCATTATCAGGCTTCCACATCATTATCAGTGTCCCAGCTGGCGACAGGGTTCCACAGAGCTCATCTGTAAAGGCTTTCATGCCTAAAGGGAAGGGTGGGTGCCAGTGTCCAGGAAGCCTGGGTGACACAGTAACCAATGAGGCTGAGGCTGTGGAGTGCCTGGGCCGTGCAGAACCCAAGTGAGGGGAACAGGGAAGGAATGCCCTGACCCCTCTGTCTTCCCAGCCTCCACTCTGCTCCAGGAAGCAAGGTGCCTAGCCGAGGCGGAACAGAGCAGAGAGGGGAATGGTCCGGGACTGGAGAGCTGGAGAACACCAGCAGAGCCTTAGAGGTTGTTCCACAGAAGCACAGGGTGACCATCCTTGTAAGACAACCAGCCATTCAGGATGTCTCCCACTGTGTGACTGAGGGACACTTGGGGAACTTCAGTTGTCCCCATCGCCAATAAGGCTGCAGCAAACTAAGCATGGAAAGCTTCAGGCTCTGAGCTGGGGAGGTGGCAGTCAGTACAGCACTTGCTTCATGGGTATTATGACCCGGAGTTCAGACCCTGAGAACCCACATACAAAGTCACAGTGGCGCATCCTTGTAATCCCAGGGACAGCATGACAGGAAGCTGGGATGGGAGGAAGCTCCTGGGAGCTTGTCGGTCAGCTACTCTAGCTGACCTGGTAAAATAGATGAATAATTAGCTGTCCAGGCCAATGGGAGACCCTATCTCAAATACGATGGAGTCAATAACTCTGACTTCCACATGTAATCACACAACAGTGTACCCAGGTACAACACACACACACACACACACACACACGTTTAAGTTCCCATCCAGGCCCTCTCCAATCAGATCCATTTCACTCTGTTTGCCTCATCCCTGACTTATCTGTGACAGGAATCCTTCTCTCGGGGAGGTTGGTTTATCAGACTCCACTCCCCACCTCATTGTCTTCTCTGTCTCCTTTCTGCTAACCACAGCCTGGGTGGGGGGCGCTGCTGAGGTGAGTGGGGGCAAGACAGTCTCTGCAAATTTCATGTCTTAACCTGAGTCATAAGTCTCCCACTCCTAGCTGTGTGACCTTGGCCAAGTCATCTCATTTATTCAAAGCGCAGGATGATGGATCCCACCCAGTGAGCAGAGACCATGTGTTTGTGGCCACCTTGCCACCCATATAAAGTAGCTGCTCAGTAAGCCTCTATTTTGCATTCACACAAACTGGAGAGAAGAGTCACCAAGCCCCTGAAAATCTCTCAGACGTTGGAGTTAGAGAAACACTCTTAAGACGGGTCCCACCCTGCCTAATGTCTCCAGCAAAGAGCTCATTAGATAACTGATGTTTCATCAAGATTCTCCGAAGGCCTTGTTGGAGACATCCAAGAGGTTCCTAGGAAGTTATGGTGCCCAGTGTGCTGGGGGAAGTTCTGGTGCTTTCCTTGTCCCCAGAGCCAGGTCCAGAGCAGTAACTAGCAGGCTCTGGGTACTGAGAAAGCATAGCGATCACCCAAGGCAGTGAAGGATGTCCTTGGAGGTCCTCCCATGTTCCAGGCATTGTCACACACTCCCCTGTTTCATCTGCTCTGTTCCGGTAGGTCTGTGGACAGGGAGTGGGAGGTCAGAGAGGTCAGGGTGCTGTGAGGCTCAGCTAGCTCACATGTAGCTGAGCTAATGCTGGGGGGCAGCGTGTCATGGCCCAACCCCACCATCTTTCTCCAGTTCAAGTGGATCTTGGGTAGGGCCTCTATGAGCAACAGTAGTGTGAAGTTTGTGACTGCTGAGCCATAGGCACACAGTGAGGTAGCACCACTGACCAGGGTTCAGAGAGCAATGGAATCAGGAAAGCCTGGGCATCAAGGAGCGATCTCTGGAGATGGACCATATCAGCTTAGACAGGCCCCAGGGATACAGTTTCCTCCTCCTCGGGAGCCTCCAGCTGAGAGAATTCAGACCAGAGAAGACTGGTAGAAGCACAGCCCTTTGTTTGGAGTCATCCCTCTCCCCTGCAGTAGCTACAGGCCCCTTTCCCTCACCACACAGGACAGTGTGTGTTCACAGACATGGCCACAGGCTCAGTTTCCACTCTGGGGGTTTTGATGCTGGTGACTCATGAGATGTCTGTGAATTACACTCTCTAATACAACCTGGCTCACAGTAGCATGAAAATAAAGCAATGGCATGTGTGAGAGCTAGCACAGAGATTAAAGTAGATGCTGGGCATAAAATGCTCATCCTAGCAGTCAGCTAGAGTCAGCCATCATGATTCCCATAGCCATGTGAGACGTGAGCTCCACTAGCACAATAGGGCCCTTCCTGATGTGGGTCCTAAGAGCTCGATAAAGCAACGTTTTTTTTTTATTGGTGTTTTGTTATATGTGTGTGCTCTCGTGTATATGTGTATGTGTGTTTTAAACTATGCTAAATTGTCTTCATTGATCATATATCATCGAATCTGGTTCTTACCTCTGGAGATTGGTAAAAACAAGAAAGAAAGCAAGAAAACCCACATGGCTTTGAAATCCTGGATCAGATCTCAGTCAGTCTGTGCAAGAACATCTTTCTAGGGCTGGAGAGATGGCTCAGCCATTAAGAGCACTGGCTGCTCTTCCAAAGGACCCGAGTCCATCCCAGCAACGACATGGTAGCTCACAACCATCTCTAGTAGGATCTGATGCCCTCTTCTGGCATAAAATGCAGATACAGCATTCATAGAGAAAAAAGGAGCATCTATCTGTGCAGTACACTAGTTTGGGCGCTGTCAGGATGGGTGTGGCACTATGTGGACACCCTTGGGTTTGTGAACAAGAAAAGCACAACTCCTGAGGCCCAGGGCTGCCACTGGGCCAGAAGTTCACCTGCAAGCCCTCATGGTCCTCATAAATACTGAGGATGAGTGAAAGGCTCAGGAAGAGGCAGCTGGCCTCCCAAGGTAGAATCCTGTGAGGTACTGATAAGTAGACCTTCCCCCAGGGAGCAGCTATGAGGGCTGGATGGGATGCAATTTATACAAACTTACAGGCTGTCTCATGTCACTCAGGAACGCCTTTGAATGCCTGTCATAGAGCCCAAATCAAGTTGGCTTAAGCCTCAAAGGGAATTCATTGGCGCACATAACTAATGCTGAACCAGACAGCTCACAGAATATCACAAGGAAACCCAACTGCTCTGTCTCTTTCCCCATCTCTCAGCCCCAACTTTTGCCTGTCAATCTCTCCATGGAGGGTTAGTGTAGGCCAACATTGTGATTCCTCTCTTAATAATTACCTTAAAAGTGCCAGATGCTGGGCTGGGGAGATGGCTTAGTTGGTAAAGCATTTGTCATGTAGGTACAAGAACCTGAGTTCAGGTTCCCCAGAACCCACAAATAAAGCTTTGGAGTGGTGGCTGCCTCCTGAAACCCCAGCCTAGGACGGACAGTGGGAAGTGATGGAAGCTGACACTCGAGTTCAGATGAGCTCTTAAACATGTTCGGCCACTCTGAGCACGGCAGAAAGCACATGTTTGCTAAGGTAACCTTTAACCACCGAGCTCCACCAAGCACACAGAAAGAAAGAAAGAACTGGAGAATTCAGGCCGGGGAAGCAGGATAGGATGGAGTGAGGTACCATCTTGGCATTCAGGTTAATATGGCTTAAGAGTTGCTGGAAGGCATGTGAAGGCAGAAGGTATACACACGGCTTCTCCATTCACTAGGACATACTGAACCTTTCTCAAAGACTTGCTGCCCAACCTCCCCACCACCCACCCTATCACCTGAGAGCTAGAGACCTCCTGGGTCATACCGGGAAGAGCAGACACTATCGAAGAGGCTTCCAGTAGTGAATCAGGCACCACGGGTGGAGTTGCGGAAAACTGATGCCCCTTGCTTGGGTTGCTGTCCATCCTTGGGAGAAAATGGAAACATGATGATTAAAGTCTGCCTCTGAGCCCCAGGGAGTCAGCTTTGAGAATTATTTGCAAATAAGGCTCCCGTCTTCTCTGGGAGGCCGGCAGGTTGGGGCTATTTTGGGAAGGAACATTTAATATGATAGTTGCTAGAGGAGGTGCATCCCTGTTTGCAAATGCTTCCTGTCTGACTCAGATGTGACTCACATTTCCAGCAAGGCTCCAAAGACACCCCTGGGGATAGTGCAGAGGTTCAGGCTAGAACCTCAGGAGACATCTTGGTCTCTCCCTCACTCTTAACCTCTGTCTGCCCAAGAGTGAATCCCAGCGTGTCTGTCCTGAGAATATGCTGGTTCTCACTGCTCCCCACGGCCTGTCTTGATGTCAGCCTGGTAGCATTTGCTCATACTCCTGTGATAGCTCACCCAAGGAACCCCTGACTCCACTCTGCCCCCTCCTGGCCGTGAACAGCTCAGAAGACCCAGCTGCCTTGCTAGAAGTCAGGCCAAACCGGCCCTTTCTTTGTCTTCTGTGGCTACCTCCTTCGCCTAGGGCAGGGGGACCTCACACCTCCCGGTGTCCCAGCACACTCCTCAGGAGCACCTCTGGGATCCTCTCTACCCACCCACTTCCTGCTGCTGCCTCCCTGGTCCCCCGCTGTCCCCAGCCATACGGACCTCAGTGATGTTGTCTGGCTGCTCTGGCTAGCCATCCATCCCCTCACACCTTTGTTCCCATGCCATCTTCCCAGGAACATCCTCCTGGTCCACTCTGTGCAAAATTATAGCCCCTTCTCTGCTTCAGCTGTCCTGACAGCCTAGGTCAACACCGGCATGCCACATGTTCTAGGTTGCCTCTTGGGCACTTAAGAATAACGATGTCACCATGTTTGTCCTGCAAGCCGCCATCTAGACGGGCGCTCAGCACTCGGTTCAGTGCTGAATGAATGGATGTTTGTAGAGAGAAGACATGTCTATGAGTGATGGAGGCAGATACTTTTGCAGGCAGATTGCGCCACGGTCACTAGAGTGTTAGATCTGCATTCAGTAGTATGACCTTGACTAAGGTACTTGTAGGTCTTTTTCCTCAAGATCATCCAACTGGAAGCTGGAGGGAGGGCTCAGTCGTTAAGATTCCCTGTTTTTCCAGAGAACCCGGCTCCAAGTCCCAGCACCCACATGGTGCCCCACAACTGTATAGTTACATATTCCAGAGGATCTGATGCCCTCTTGTGGCCCGTGTGGGCAGTGGGCACTCTCTATAGTGTATAGTTACAAACACAGGTAAAACACCACACACTGAAACAACTATCTAACTCATAAGGTAACTTAGACAGTGAATATACAGTGTTTAAGACAGATCCTGCTCCGTAGTGAAGGTCTGTTGAATAGCGCCCTTACAATAGCCACACATGATGTAGGCTTTGAAAGGGTGGCGTGGCAGCATCTCCCTGTGAGCTACTGTGGCTGACAGGGTTTTCAGCAGGGGGTACCAGCGACACTTAGTTCACACTCAGCACTCTACAAATCACCTACGATGCCATTGGCGAAATTGAGGAGCCATCAGGTTTGAGAGCCACTCACAGAGGATTTACTCTACAGCGCTCTCTCTCTCTCTCCCATCCTCTAGCTCAAACAGCCACTGTCATGGTAGTGAAGCCATGGAGTGGTGTCTGCGAGTGAGCTGAGGTTTAATTTCTAAGAAGGCTTTTTATTTCTCCATCCATGTAATGAAGGCACACTGTCTTAGCCAGGTTTGAGAACGCCGTGTCTGGCCTCGGCTTTCCTCATTTTCTATCACCTTTGACAAGGCTCTCTGATAAGGCGCTACTAATGGAGGGTCGGGCATGTGAGGTCTTAAGGGTTAAGACAGGGACCGTCAGGGGAGGTTACAAGGAGAGAAATATGCTTGCAAGAATTTTTGTTTTCCTTTTTTACAGTCAAGCATCTCCCATCTCTGGGATAGAAAGTCAAAATGGAGAGGCAGCCTTCCCCGAGTCCCAGGCCAGGGCCATGCACTGCAGCACACAGTTGCTGGGACCACAGCTGGGTCTCCCGAGGAGACTTAGTCTTCCTAGCAGAGAGAGTGATGGAGCCCTGTAACAGTCCTTCTCCACCCTCTCTTGGGAGGCCTTTCATACCAATCCTACATCAAGCCAGACAAGGAAGGAAGGACGGAGAAGATACGGGTAAACGACAGACACTGTCCTGTCTGCACACACTAGCTTCTATTGTCCTTGATTACAGTTACTTGAAGTCAGCTGTATTGGGAAATATTAAATGGAAAATTCCAGAAGCAAACAGTTGATAAGTTTCAGATTAATTGCTGTTCTCAATAGAGAAATGAGTCTCACACGGTCCTACTCTGTCCTGGAGCACAAACTATCCCTTCATCTAGCATATCCATACTATATACACCACACACCCTCTAATCATGTTTAGTCATCTTGGTGTATTACTGTTATAACTGTTCTTCCATAATAAGGTGTATTTAAATTAGATTTAAAAAATAAAATCACATCTTTCTGGCTAACACATCCCTGTGACTTTGATTTCTAAAGCATCTAGTGGACACCAAGTTCAGGGTTCTCTTTCTCTTTTGCGCTCCAGTCATATACATACATACATAGTCACACGTCTTTTCCCTCACAGATCATTGCATGATTTGCAGCAAATTCTGCACTTAGACCTCTTTATTTCTCTCCTAGAGCTCCTCAGAATAGAGAAAGGCACTTCTGATTTAATGTCGGCACAGCGCCCATGTGAGTGGACACTTGGGCTGTTCCAGCCATCTGCTGCTGTAGGATGCTGTTGTATCTTGGTACCATTGCCACAGATGCAAATGCCAGCGACTGTGAAATTGTCCAGGAAGATGCAGGAAGGGAGGGAACTTAGCTTAAATGTGGAGATGAGGCAGAAGTCACACAGAAGGTTGTCCTGGAACTCAAGAAGTCTAACTGCTAAAGGGAACACCAAGTCTCCTTTGAAAACCCTCCCTGCTCATAATTTACAAAACAACACAAACTTTCTTAATTTACTTATCAGTTTGTTATTGTTGTTGTTGTTGGGGAGGGGTAAGGAGAGGATGCTTCCTAAACTCTTAAACTACCTAACCTCATGGTTTGCATACAGCAAGTTTCTAACTCACCAGGGTCCTGGTTAATGTTATATGACTTAAGCATGTAAGAGCACCTGCCTCAGAAGATCAGTCAGTCACATCCAGTGCTCAGATTAGAGCCTGTCAAACATCAAGGCTTGAATACATGAGAGCTGCTGGGTTGTTCCTGCAGGTGAGGGAAAGAAAACACAGCCTCCTCAGTCCTCAAAGACAGAGCCCCCCAAGTGAGCCATGAATCTCAGCTGTGAGGGCTTAGGGACACATTCCTGAAACAGACACACTGCAGTAAAAGTTATTATTGCCAGGGGCTCTGTTTGATGGTTCCAACCCAGCTTTACGTCTAAAACTGTAGTGCGTTAGATCTAAAGTGCCTATAGAGTGTTAGGAAATAGGAGTGTTTATTGAGGGAGAGAGGGAAAGTGTGGGAAGGATAGAAGAGAAACAAAGGGTCAAGTCTGCCCCCTAGAGCAGTAGGATGCCACCCTGGCTCCCAGCTGTTGTATGGGCACCACACTCCCTGCCTGTTTCTGTTCGCCTGACTTTCCCTGCCCACGGATTCCAGTTTCCAGCTTTTATCCAATCCTGAGAAGCAGACTAAGTGCCCAGTAAGCGGTGCTACTGAGACAGCTCTTCAGGGATCCCCTCCCGGGCCTCTAAGGTACTAGCACCACAGAGGGGCACCACCTTTTCAGAGAGTCTTTACATAAATCACTCTTCTAATGCAGTTATTCAACTCCCCATGCTAACATCTTTCCACTGGAATATTGAGCGGTTTCTGGTTTTCTGCTTAGCCTGGCTCCTGCATTGTGACTTACATCTTATCTTGATAAATGCTAAATAAAACTCAGAATTAATGAAATAAAACCCTTCCACAAGGAATCCGTAGCTTTCCAGTTGGCAGTGCGCCCTGCTTACCCCATTGTGAACAGGGAGACAGGGAGTGGATGCCAGGCTCAAGGTCACAAAGCCAAGAGTGGAAATGACCCATGACCCTAATTCCTAACCCATGCTCGTTCCTGCCCGAATCTCACTCTACCGACCTCTCTGATGTGGGGGATGGACAAGACTCCAACATGCCTCATGATACATTGTCCTCATCAAAGTACTTTTCCTTCCAGGAAGTACACGCTGCTGGTCAATAATGGATTTGCAATTTGTGCAGCCTTGCTGATGGCCTGCTCACTCCAGGCAGGAGCCTTTGAAATGCTCATTGTGGGACGTTTCATCATGGGCGTGGATGGAGGTGAGACTTCACCCCGACTGGGGAGGAAGGCAGTAACACTCCCCGGGCTTGTCTGGGGAGGAGAGAGGTGCTTGGAGCTAAGATAGACTTGGAAGAGACCACCATTCTAGAACCCCACAGAAAGTGAGGAAGCTGAAGGGGGGGCACTAAATGCCCCTCTACACAGTGTTGTAGCATCCAACCTGAGAAAACCAGGCTAGGTAGAGCTGAGTCACTGCCAAAGCCCTGGCTGGTTTACAGTGTGTCTGCTGCCTTCTTTATAAAACCCATACTCTAGGAGCTTAGCTGTGAGCTTGCCCAAGGCTTCTAAGCTCTGACTGCTCATTCTCCTATTCCTTCACCAAGCATTAGAATACTGACTGTGCCATGTTCTGTGTGCTGGGGAGAGGCTGCCTTTGGGACAGAAGGCATCTAATTATGCACAAGTCCCAGGAAGCAGGCAAGGCAGGGCAGAGGCTAGCTTTTTTTTTTTTTTTTTTTTTTTTTTTTTTAAGCCAGGTAGCATGATCAGGAAGTGTGAGCAGAGACCAAAATGAACGGAGATTGAGAACTGAGTAAAACATCGGAGGAATCAGGCTCTCAGTAGAGAGGATAGTGCTGTGGTCCTGAGGTGGAAGGCGATTGGCATTTCTGAGGAAGAGCGAGGGGCCAAGGAGCCTGGAGCTTGATGAGGAGGGGAGTGTGGGGGCTGAGGATGGAAGGGAACCAGGACCAGATGGTGCAGCCCACAGCTAGAGTGTGTGCAGAGCATGAGAGGAAGCCAGGAAGGGCCAAGAGGGGAGGGGCACGAATTGGGCCTTGGGTATGAAGGGCAAGGTAGATCCAGGAGTGGGGTCAGGAGAACCAGGGGCAGCCAGCCTGTATGACTTGGACAAGACTGAGTGGCAGGGTGGGCAGAGATGAACGGCCAGATTCTGCCAAGGGAGTGAGATTTAGGATTCAGATGGTTGTCGAGACAAACTGCTTTTCCCCCAAATCTGCAGCTCTGTAGAGAAAAGGTTCTAAGCCTGGGCACAGCCAGTCAGCTCTAGGTGTTTACACTCTCAGTGATTTAAAATTACTCATATTTGTTCTGCCACTGTGCGTATGTGGAAGCCAGAGGATGGCTTGCAGGGTTAGATTCTCACTCTCTACCTTGTAGCTTCCAGGGATCAAACTCAAGTCATCAGGCGTGGTGGCAAGCCGCTTTATCCAATGAGCCATCCCACCTGCCTGCGTGGCGAACTCTCCATGTTATCAGCTCAGTTTGGGTTCTCTTGCTCCATTTGAGATTCACGAAGAGAGGGGTCTCACCCAACAGAGTGTCCAGGGTTTCTCCTCGTGCAATTCCACAAGCTCCAGGGTCCAGCAGGAGAAGGAGGCCTTAATGTGCAAATACTGTACAGTCCATTAATCGCAGTCACTGACCAAAGCGAAGCCCAGAGTAAGAGCAGAGATCCAGCTGTGGACAAGCGCTACAGCCTTCCCAACTGTCTGAGTCTTCTCCTGCTGCTCCACAGAGGGACCAAACAGCAAGGCTGCCCTGGTTGGATGATGCCAGAATTATCCTTTGTGTAAAGTACTCAGTCTAACCGGACCCAAGCCTGTCTGCATCCACCCCAGGCGTGGTAGGGATGTTCTAGTCCCGAGTGCTGCTGCTGGGTGTTTAATTCTAAGCTTGTCATGGGCAGATCTAGGATTGGAACAAGACAGAAGAGGGCTGCTTGATGGCCTCTCCAGCAAGGCTTCGGCCATGCTCTCTCTGGAGGTTTTCCTATTTTACCGGTCGCTTTCCCCTTGGCTTCCTTTGCCTGCCTGGCAGACTCACGCTGTACTTGTTGCTCTCCGAATTTCCACATTCACAGATGAATGACTCTTTCACAGCCACAGGCTTTAAATAAATTCCTTTTAGGCCCCCTTTTCTGTGAGCTATTCAGAAAGAAGCAAAAGAAAAGGAAGAACTTTTAAAACACACCCTGACTTCTGGAACACAGCCTCTTGAAGCTGTGCCAAGCCCCAGAGATTTTATGCCGTTTATTCTCACCAAACCTCAGAGCAGAGAGAGCAAAGTGAGGGCATTTAAGGTAAGAAAGTTGTATGGGGGACAGGAAGACTACTAGACCCCGGGCTAGGTGGGCCCGGTGCTCATAATAAAGAATTCAAATCCAGGGCTGGGGATGTAGTTCAGTTCAGTGGGTGGAATGCTCGCTTGCCTAGCATTCCTGAAGCCCAGCCCAGCACCATGTAAAAACCAGGTGGGACGACACAAGCCACATGGGAGATGGAAGTAAGAGGAGCAGAAGTTCAAAGTTATCCTTGACAAGCTCCACTGCATACCAAGTTCAAGGCCAGCCTGGTCTCTCTGAGACTCTGCTTCAAAACAAAGAATTTAGAGCCACATGATAATCCTGACTGTCCTAGAAGTAGAAAGATTTTTAATAAGACGCTGTCTGCCCAGCTTCTTATGGAGCTTTTGAATCAGATTAGAAATGTAGGACAGCTTTGAAATATTTTCTGGGAGATTTGGAGAAACATCAGCATACTACTTTTTATATGGAAATAAATATGATTTAATATGGCTTTGGAGACAAATTCACATAGACCTCAGACTTTAAAGTAGGAACTTTGTGTTGGTGGGAGATTGAACGGGACACGGCCCAAGCATGACTTTACCAGGGCTGCCCACATCCCCTGTGGCACAGTTTCCCATCAGCCACAGTAGGAGTTCCCCAGGACACAAGCCATGACAAGCAGAAGCTCCTCGGTTTCTGTTGCTAAAAATTAAAAATACAGAAAGTTCCAGAAATAATTTATGGGTTTAAAGTAATGTTTTTTTTAAAACAACATATCATCCATTATCAACTCATCTGGATATAATGGTATTGGTAAAGACCCTATCACCAGAAAATGTAGAGCCATGGGTAATTGAGGATGGAGACTGAAAATGTTTGGAAGATACAACTCCACCTCCTACTGTGGGAGGTAACGTTGAATTGAAACAGGAAGCATGTGTGGCAATCAGCCTGGGATCTCTGAGCACAGAGGGCTCGGAACAAACAGAAGAATCAAGGTCAGCCTTGTCTCTGAGACTCACAGTGTCCATGTGTGTCTCCTACGGCCTCTGGCATTTTCTGCTCATTATCGCCGTCTCTTTAGTGGAGGTCACATATACACAAGGCCACTGCATCTCCTGTCCTCTATGGAAAAGGTCAACTAAGAATGAATAGCAGTTGTGCATGCCGAGTATATGCAGTTCCCTTTTGTAATACAAAGCGCAAATGTGCTCATAACACAGAGTGGACGCTCCCTTACCCGCCTCCTGTCTGCTCTCACCCCTACTGTACTGATGAGCAAGAGAAGCTAACGCAACACTGTATTAGTTACGTTTCTGTAGCTGTGAAGATACCATGACCCAAAGTGACTTATGAAAGGAGTTTACTACAGCTCACGGTTCCAGAGGAAGAAGAGTCTATCATGGCAGCAGGCATGGCAGCAGGGACAGGAAGCTGAGAGAGAGAGAGCAGAGAGCAAACCGGAAGTAGGACAAGGCTATAGAATCTCAATGCCCCCCCCCATGCTCTTCCCCCAACAAGGCTACTGGAGAATAAGTGTGCAAATCCTGGAGCCCATGCCAAGTACCTCACACACTCATGGCCCATTGCTTCTTCCCCTTGGCAGCTACCATTGCTGTGAGCTGGCACGTGCTCCCCCATGGTCTTGGTGTAATGGGCAGGAGGCACATCAGCATCTGTAAGTGACCACATGTGAGCCAGGGCGCCTCTCACTGCTGTCTCTTTTCCCCAGGCATCGCGCTCAGTGCGCTCCCCATGTACCTCAATGAGATCGCACCCAAGGAGATCCGAGGCTCACTGGGCCAGGTGACTGCCATCTTCATCTGCATTGGCGTGTTTGTTGGGCAGCTGCTGGGCTTGCCTGAGCTCCTGGGAAAGGTAAGTGTGGCTTCCCGGACAGCCATGGCTGTTTTTACCTTACTGTTACCAGGCCACAAGGAGCCCTAAGAAGTCTCATCTCTAAGGTGGCGATTTCTGAGGGCTCAAGTGTTTCACATACTCACGGAGAAAAGCTGTAGATGCCTTTCACTTTCTTAGAACGTAAATACCGCATAGCAAACTCAAACCTTACAGGATGTTCAAGTCCATTGCCCACTGACCATCATTGAGGGCTGATTTTGCATTTGTATAGGTTTGCTCTCTGCTTTAAAAAGCATATGTGCATCTTACTTACCTGAATATTCGGATAGTTGTGGTTGCATAGTTTTCATAGGATCATGCCATGCCTGTGGTTCTGTAGCTGGCTGCTTTCATCTTACACATTTTGGGGGGGGGGTATCTTTCCAAGATATTCACTAACTCTACCACAATCTTGAGTTTATCTTTGCTCTTAAATACTTGTGGGACCTTCCAATTTGCCTTGCTATACGAGGAGCAGCAAGGAGTGGATTAGAATCCCAGCTCAGCAACATACTTGCTGGGTGGGCTTGGCAAAGAATCACGTTCATCCAGGTTGGTATAGAGTGGGGTGAGCCCAGGAAGGTTTCTCAGAAGGTGAGGTCTCTGAGCATCCCCAGGGGTGAGTGAGGGTTAGGTAACGGCGATAGAATCTGAGAGAGAAGGTGTCCTAGAGATAGGATGAGGCAACCGAGAAGGCCTCCAGATAGAGAGAGCAGCATCTCCGCCAGCATCTGAGAGGGCCTGGCACCAAGAAAGAGCAGGAATGAACCACGAAGATGCTCCAGGAGGGAGACTGAGGGGGAAGGCAAGGGGCTGCTGACTGGGCCTAGTAGGCTTCAACCTAAAAGGACAGGATGGTCCAGGGGCGCAGAAGCAGGCCAGGGGTGTGTGGCCAGACCCATGACAGAGGTGAGGGAAACTGGAGAGGGAAGGATGAGGCAGGCTCAGAGGCCCAGTAGGAGGCCATGGCTGCTGGCACATGTGGCCGGAGCCAGCAGTGGCTGTGGTTAGGGAGCGCTCCCTGGTCAAGACCTGGAAGGAAGCTGACTCCACAGTACCTACTGCCTGTGAAGGGTGGTGGGGACGATAGGACAGAGGCCCAGTACTTAAAGTGATGCTCGATGCCCACAGCTCTTAGCACCTGTATTCTGGCAGCAGGACCCTGCAACAAGACAGCTTAGTGAGCGAGTGCACAGGAGAGTGCGCTGGGGAAAGGCTGCTTTAATGAGCCATTCAAAGCCTTACTATTGCCTCCTGCCTAGATCCTGAGTACAACTTAGAAGCTGGAGCTGAGAGCTAGACAACGCAGGACTCAGGGACTAATCAAACCTGTCTGCCGGGCATGCTTACCCAGCTGTGAACCCAGCGCTGGCTTCTCTGGGAGCCTCAAAGCTTAGGAAAAAGGGGGCTGATCCTGCCATGGGCTTCTATGTACTGCCTGACCTCACTAACTCTGGGTCCATGGGTCCAATATGTGGAGATCAAAGGACAACTTTCCACCACGGGTTCTAGGAATTGAACTAGGTTCTCAGGTTTGCATGACAAGTTCTTTCAGTGGATGAGCCATGCCACTGCCTTTAAATGTACCTTTGAGTCATTATGCATGGCTTGTGACATCTAAGCTGGTCCAGTTTGTCCCAGAGCCACCTGCCTCTCTCTCACCTCTCTGTCTGGAGTGGCTGCAGGCACATCCTTGTTTTCCTTTTGTTACAAAACCAGAAATAATGCCTGCTGCATACTTCCTGTTGTCTGGTGCCCAACAATTTCCATGATTAGTGTGAATGTGCTAGAAAACAGTCTGTCTGCCAGGGTGAGGTCTCACATTAAAAGATTCATTTGCTTTCTGTTTAAAGATATTTTTAAGTTCCCAAAGTGAACACATGTCAGTGACAATAAAAACAACATAACAACCACAGCCTGAGCCCTTACAGCAGATAAGTGTATATTAAAGGCAGCAAATAGCATATTTGTTTTCCAGTATTAAAAAAATTAAGTGCCTGCTTTATAGGACTCTAAATTCCTTGTCACTCATCAAACCTTTTAGATGTCAATACAAAAGACTGTCTGTTATCCCTGGCCCTCCTTTAACCTCTGGCTTCATTCATTCACGCAGTCAGTTAGCTAACAAATGGCTAAATGCTGAGTTGGATGCTGGAGTTCAGCAATGAGCATGTCAGATAAATTCATCTTAGTGAGGCTTTTGGCAGGTCACCCCTTCCCCAGCATCCTTCTTGGTAGCAGGCATGGCTCAAAGTCCCACATCCCCATGTCCCACTTTAACACCATTCCCTCTGGGAACACATCAGGGGCAAACGCGTCCTCTGAGTGAGTACCTTGTGCACAGGTCTCTCCTGTTCTGCAGTTTCTCTTTGTTTCCTGCCCCCCCCCTCCACCGCGGAGTGCATCTTGCTGATGATTATATACCACAGTCCAGATGTGTCAAGTTCATCCACCGCTCAGCAGGTCTACAGGAAGCCCTATCAGCTGTGTGCCAGATGTGGGGCTGGCTGCTGCTTCTGCAACCACGGGGTAGCCAGACTAGACACCATACTCATGGAAACCACAGCAAGGCAATTAGCCAGTGGTCAGCAGAAGATGGAAAAAGCAGGACACTGGCCTTGCTGGGGGAAGAATGTTTTCCCTGCAGAAGTGATGTGAAATGAATGCCTTAAGGATAATTAGGATTTGGACTGGAGAGATGGCTCAGTGGTTAAGAGCACTGGCTGCTCTTCCAGAGGTCCTGAGTTCAATTCCCAGCACCCACATGGTGGCTCACAACCATCTATAATGATATCTGACATCCTCTTCAGGCCTACATGCAGACAGAACACTGTAGATATAATAAATAAATCTTTTTTTAACAAAAAGAATAATTAGGATTTATATTGGCCGACCTTGGGTTATTGAGGGGGTGGGGAGGGAAGACTAAGTGAAAAAGCGCAGACAGAACATTTTAGGAAAGATCCTAGCATTTGTTTAGAGGCAGAAAGACCTCCACTGAGCTCAGGCCTTAGCCACCTTCTGTCTCTTGTCATTTTGGTAATGGCCACTGTAAGGGTGGGAGGTGTAAGGAGTATGGTTTTTCCTCCCCCCGCAAGTCTTGTCCCGCCGCCACGCCAGCCCCAATTAACACACAGAGACTCTGTGTATGATATAATTCTATTGGCCAGTTACTAGTTTCTTATCAGCTAGCTCTGTGTTAATTATTAACCCATTTCTATGTATTTCCACATGGTCTTACCAGCGAGAGGCGGCTGGCGCTTCTATTCTCTCCAGATTCTCCATCTTGACTCCTCCTTACTACTTCCTATTTCCTCCTTGTCTCCTAGTCCCTCCTATCTTGCTTTCCTATTGGCCAACAGTGCTTTATTCATTAACCAGTATGAGAAACATATTTACAGAATGACATCTCCCATCATCTCCTCTTTTCTAAATAAAAAGAAGGGTTTTAAGCTTAACATAGCAAAATATATAACACAACAGTTATCAAGTAAGAATTACAGTTAACAATATTTAGTCCATTAACATTTAGTAAGATTTGAAGAAAATATTCCATCATCTATTTTATCTTGTGAGTCTAAAGTCCTATATGTACCTTATCATTGAGTCCTAACTAAAGAAAACAATAACCATAACTATCTGTCTTCAACTCCTTCAAAGACCACAGAAGGATAGTATATAAACTCTAGAAATGACAGAGACATCTTGCCTTTTCAGTCACCTGAAGTTCTACTGTAATCTTCCATCTTCAGCCCATAGGCCATAGTGTGTCTGGCAGACTCTTTAGCAAAGCAGGAAACTTTAAACTGTCTTCTTTTATTGGCTGTTTGTCAGTCATTTTTCTCTGTGTCCTGCAGACTGTCTGGCAGACTCTTCCATGAAGCAGGAACTCTGTAGCAATGTCCATCTTGAATCACCAGTCACTTTTGTGTGGGTCCTGCATGTCCAGTTTATACAGCATAAAGTCAAACAGTCCAGACAAGAGCAGTATCTTGTCCAAATGGCTAGTCTTGCCATATTGAAACCAAACTCTATAACGAGTTTCTTCAATGTCCATTTTCCTTTCTGACGCAGGTGGTGTTGCCAGGAACAATTATGTCTCATTGTCAAGAAAAACCCTAACCCATTTTAAATGCCATATTCTGTAGGTCTTTGAAAGGTTTGAAGAATGCCTATCTATCTCAAATACATATCTGTATATCTAGAAAACTTAACTCACCTAGCTATAAGTTTTGACTATTATAGGTAACTATCTAAAATCTGTACTAAATTATACATTACAATTTTAAATGAGCTATATAAACACAATACCTAAACAAAAGGAGAAATATACACATCATAAGATTGACCTTAAATTGTATCAATAAATGAAAATCCATTCCAAAGCAAAGTATCCATTTCTATACCATAATCCCCTTTTTACCTTTAAAAAGAATTGGCTGTGATCATTAACCATTTATAACCACGTCCATTTAAATGAAAACAAACATAAACACTATTTGGGAATTTGGGCGTCGTTCTTTCCGAACTACTTCCTTCTGATAGGGGGCACTGTCATGGGGGAAATCCTAAGAAGACACAGAAATCCTGGCATAAGTCTGCAAGGCTGCCTTGTTCAAGCTGTTTTGAATGTAGGATCACCTAGTACTCTGTTTCAGGGGGTCTGGCTTGATCAAACCACATTAGTCTGGAAGGAATCCATAGCTTTTCATTTTCTGTGGAAATCCTTTTCCCCAGTAACTTGTCCTTGAACTTAAATTTTGGAGTCAAAGCATTTTTAAAATATATAAATTAAATTAATCCAGCAGCAGCATTTCCTTTAACAGTTATTGTTTCCTCAGCAGTCAAACAATACAAAGACAATGTAATAGCATACAGTAACCAGATTCTCTCTGAGCTTTTCATCTTTGCGTGGCTTTATTATTACTCTGTTTCTTTTACTTTTTATTTTTTCATTTTTTGAGACCGGGTTTCTCTGT